ATAAAATATTCAAAGAAAACTAAATGAGTATACAAATGTTGTAATATTCACAATTTTATTCAAATGAATCATGTAAAAAATATATAATTTAGGTAGAGTACAAACATAATAAATACAAATATGTCGTTTTAGCTAACTTTGTCATAATGAATGTATAAAATGTGTAAACGTTATAATGATATAAATACAAATATCTTTTCATATAGGTAGAGTACAAACATTATAAATACAAATATGTCGTTTTAGCTAACTTTGTCATAATTAATGTATAAAATGTGTAAAAGTTAAAATGATATATGCTAAATTTGTATTTTTCATGTCTAAATTATTTATTTATATCCTAAGATGAAGAGTGAAAATAAATACAAAGTATTTATATATATTACTCCCTCCGTCCCTAATAACTTTGCCAAGTTTGACCGGCACGAGGATTAATAAAGTAAAAACTGTGTGGTTGAGGTTTGTGCAGAGGAGAGAGAATTAACTGGAACCACAAATTCTTTACTTAAATGGGAAAGTGGCAAAGTTAATGGGACATCCAAAAAAGGAAAGTTGGCAAAGTTATAAGGGACGGAGGGAGTACAAGTTGTTCGGTGTTCGGTTCGATTTACAGTTTTTCGGTTTTAAACCAAACCATTCGATTTGAGCAAAATGCTACCAAACGGTTTATAAGTAAAACCAAACCGCCAATTATCGGTTCGGTTCGATCAAATCAAACCATTTTGCCCACCCCTACATTTCACACACTCATGACACACATATAAGACATGTACGATTTCAGACATGAAAGTGTTTCACATACGAAAACGTTTGTTATTGACATTTATTTTCACACATTTAAACATTAACATCTCAGCGAGTGACACATATAATTACACAAATCAATGTTTGAATATTGTTTTCAGCTTGATTTGTTGAGGCCATCACGATTGGCCAATGACCAAAGCTCATGCACAGCAACTCTGTGTGATTCGATTTGACTTATGTGTATGAAATGTGAGGCATGCAAAATGTGTATAAATGGCATTTTCAACTAATTTTATACCTCATTGGTTGATTATTGGAAATCGGTTCCGAACTTTATCAACTAATTTAAATTTTAAAATGTTGTGCAAAAATCGAACACTCGGGCAAAATATTGGTTATCTATTCACTCAATTTATGAATCCATAGTGGAGGTGAGAAAGATTGTTAGTTAATTTCGGGTGAATGGAATTTTATTTTACGTGTAGGTGTAGGGCTATGATAAAAGTTCATATCTATACAAAATATATATGGAACTACTAAAAAGAGAGTAAAACAAGTAAAATGTGCCCAAGGAATATTTAATAAGGTGCACACTTAGCTTCCACTCGAACATCTTGTATTCTTAAGTGTTGGTTATCTTTTACTTATCTATTTTTTGTATTCTTTCTCATAAATTACTACTCGAGACAAATTATTCATTATCACAATAATTATATTCTTAAAACATTATGAAAAGCTCATAGAGAAAGTAAATATGAAGGGAATAAGACAATATTTTTAATTTACATGATCTAGCTAATATTTTTTATGAGATTTTGATCACTTATTACTTACTCTTATTTTAATCGAAATGAAAAGCTTCATATTCAAACAAACTAGATAAGAATCATCAAGATAAATTTAAGTGGCACTTGACTCGAAGAGGAATACTCAGGATTCCTAATTTTTAAAAAAGTGATATTTATTTTTCAACAATAAAACAATAATCAAACTAATACCTCTAATAAGCTAAGATTGATGAATTATATTCCCATATATCCTAGGGGTATCACTATTCATGAGCTAAGGAAGCTAAGGCATTATTGCATCGAGGCTGATCTTGACCCACCCAAGGTTGGTCTGGACATTTGACTCCTAGATCATTAAGATAAGACCGGTCGGTACCAGATTTGTCGTTGAACACTGGCAGGAAGTCAACCAAAGTCAACAGGATGAAGGGATCACCATCACCGGGCAAGTAGAAGACTAGCATTGAATCCTCCGTAATAGACGTATTGTACCTGAGCTCGACCTCACCTGTTGAGCTTGGGGCCTCGCTAATCAATTGTGGCCTTAGACATTTCAGCAATCAAGTACCGCATAGAATTACAACCACGTCACCAGCGTTGTACAAAGGGCATGCCACCCTGGCAGTTACCATAATGAATATTCTAGGTAGCATACGTGTGCTATGCACATGCATTCTGGTACACAAAGGATAAGTTTGTTACATACTGTATCAATCAGTCAGCTGTCCAGAACATCTCTCCAATCAGCTTTACATGTGTCACCACATTATTAGACTAGTGCACTTATGTTTGTTAGCCAAATTAGACATGTGTCCTCACCACAATAGGGAGACATCTTTTTCTTGGTGGTCAAGTATTTTCTTGCTTAGTATAAATATCACCTTCTAGCTTGTGGAAAGATATCCAAATTTTGCTGTAAGAACTTTGTTGTTACTCTGTCAAATTTCTTACTCAATCTTACTTATAATTAGTACTTTCAGCCTCACTATTTTTCCGGATTTAATTCGCCCACCCCTAGGTTGGAGATCCATCACATATATTTTACCAAAATGTTACTAAATGAAAAATAAAGATAAATGTAAGACTTATAATATATGTGGTAGCTCTAAACGAGTCTTACTATGTCCCTGGCCTACTTTTCCAATTAAACATTAACTGTATACCTCTTTTTTTGATAACCACAACCACACATGTCTTGATGTTAATGAGATGAATTTGGCATCACTTATCTATTCATCAATTCACAAGGTCTACCATGTTAATATTGAAAGGTAGATTCACTCTTTTGTCTCATATTCATTTTTACCCCCTTGAAATTTAAACTTCAAGCTGTCAAATGGGCTCACACTCCCTGATCTTCAGAGTGTTAGTTATGCTTTTCATAGCTTAGATAGGCCTAATTGTCTAATAGTGAGCCAATGTTTCTACAATCATTTCACATCGCTTCTAATTTGTTGGTTTTAAAGGTTGTCCCACATATCATTGTGAAAAATATACATGACAAATGATCTTGAAAATATGTGCTTAAAGGTAGTATATAGTAGCAAATAATTTTGATAATAAACGATCAATATTTAAGACAATGAAAGTCAAAATTAGAGGTTCATACTTTAACCAAAATGTATTTTCTTTTAAACTTCAATTGACAAAATCACATACAATTCACTGTCCCTATGATTTTAAGAAAACTTTAAACACATCTCTTATCGTGCACACGTACACAATAGTTTGTCATATACATCACATAATCAACCTTGAGTTATCAACCCAATTTTGTTTTAGGTCATCTTCTTCTAGATTTATCCAAAGAGTACAAATGAGAAGTATACCAAAAGTAAAAACAAATATAAATTGATAAAATAAAAACATGAACATAGCAAAGTTATGTTCTTAATTAATATATTAAGATATACTACGTATACAAATAGAGAATATAATTAATTAAAAACATAAAGGGAAACCAATGAAATATCCATAGGATGTGGTTAACATGAATTAGCAAGATAACAATTACTACTGTACATAAATGATACGGAGTACGAGTAAAAAAAACTCCAAGATTGAGATCATATGCTCCAGGAAAATTCGCATGGGATTAAATTAATAAGATCAGTCAAAAGTGTTTTGTTCTTCAGTTCTTCAGCAAGATTCATATCAGGCATCATCTCCAGGAGAGCTTCGCTTTCGAAATACACAGAGAGCACACCATTCCTCTGTATCGCATAGTCGGAACAGGAAGAGGGAATGGCTTCTGAGGAAGCCGATTCCCGGCTAGCCCAAGGAGGCGTTTACTTCGCTGCTAAAGTCACCGTTAGGTTAGTAAGACAGGTGAAGTAAACACGCACGCTGCTTAAAAAGCCGCTTACTAACCGAAATAGGTGCTTAAAGTGCCGCTTACTAAGCCTACCACACCCCCATGTATTAATTAAGCGGCACTTTAAGCTTTTTCAGTTTCCGAATTTACCCCTTGCCCTTACCCTTACCCCAAATACCCCACCCCTACCCCTACCCTACCTAACCGACCCCCACCCTACCCTTACCCCACCTACACGACCCCACCCTACCACTACCCTACCTACCAGACCCCACCCCTACCCTACCTACCCGACCACACACCTACCCCACCCCTTACCCACCTACCCTACCCCTACCCTATCCGACCTCACCCTACCCCTACCCTATCCGACCTCACCCTACCCCTACCCTACCCCGACCCTACCCCATACCCCGCCTGAACCCCACCTACCCAACCTACCCCACCCCTACCTTACCTACCCTCGACCCACCCTACCACTACCTGACCGCAGTCACCCCACCATACCCTTACCCCACCTACCCCATCCCGCCATATACCCCGACCCCCACCCCTTACCCCACCCTATACCTAGGGTGGTGGGGTCGGAGTGGGGCTAATGTGATAGAGGCGCTAGGGGCAGAGTAGGTGCGGTGGGGTTGGGGGTAAGGGTCGGGTTGCGGCAGAGTGGGGTCGGGTAGGGTAGGGGTAGGGGTTGGGTGGGATCGGGTAGGGTAGTGGTAATCGGGGTAAGGTAGGGGTAGGGGCGGGGTTGGGGTAAGGTAGGATAAGGTGGGGTCAGAGTGGGGTCGATGCGGTAAGGGCCTATGGGGTCAGGGGTAGGGTCGCGGTAGGGTGGGGACGGGTAGGGTGGGGTCGGGTAGGGGTAGGGTCGGGTAGGTAGGGTAAGGGTAGGGGTAGGTGGGGTCAGAGTAAGGTAGGTAAGGGGTTAGGGGGTATGGGTACACATTTATATTATATATTTGTGTTCATGAATGTTTGTGTGTATATATATGTATAGGGTTATTTTGGACATTTTAATGTTAAGCGGTGTTTTAAACCGTTTTAAGCGGTGTTTTAAACCGTTTTATGCCCGGCTTATTAACATAGGTCTTACTACCGGCACTCGAGAAGATCACCAAGAATGGCTCATGGCTCAAGCACTCGAAGCTCGCTCATGAGTGCAAGTCAGTCATTGATTTCCTCACTTCAGCAACCCCTATCCCTACCTCCCCCATTTCTCCGTCCAATCAATCCGATCCGGACCCATCTCCGCCTCTCCCCGGCGTCCTTCTCGAGCTCTCCCTCTCCGATTCCGAGCACCTTCTCAGTCCTCTTATCAACGCAACTGCCTCCGGTAACCTCAAGATCGTTGAACCTGCTTTAGATGCTGTCCAGAAACTCATCGCGCATGGCTACCTCCGTGGCGAGGCGGATCCCACCTCCGGCCCAGATGCCAAGCTTTTGGCGAAACTTGTCGAGGCTGTTTGCAAATGCCGCCATCTGGGAGACGATTCCGTAGAATTGCTCGTTATAAAATCACTGTTATCGGCTGTCACATCTGTATCGCTCAGAATCCACGGGGATTCTCTGCTGCAGGTCGTGCGGACTTGCTATGATATATACTTGGAAAGCAAAAATGATGTGAATCAGACTACTGCCAAAGCTTCGCTGGTCCAAATGCTAGTGATTGTGTTCAGGAGAATGGAGGCGGACTCATCTACTGTACCACTGCAGCCTATTGTGGTGGCAGACTTGATGGAACCACCAGAGAAGGCAGATGCGGATGGGTCAATGACAATGTTTGTACAAGGATTTATAACAAAAGTTATGTATGATATCGATGGGGTTCTGAATTCTGCTACCCCAAAGAGTTCAACCGCTACCGGTGGAGCTCATGATGGTGCGTTTGAAACTACTACCTCCACTGTGGAGTCTACCAACCCTGCTGATCTGTTGGACTCAACAGACAAGGATATGCTGGATGCCAAGTACTGGGAGATCAGTATGTATAAGACAGCTTTAGAGGGGAGGAAAGAGGAGCTCGTGGATGGTGAGGGAGAGAGAGATGAAGATTTGGAAGTGCAAATTGGGAATAAGTTGAGACGAGATGCGTTCCTGGTGTTTAGAGCTTTGTGTAAACTCTCCATGAAGACTCCTCCAAAGGAGGCAATGGCAGATGCACATTCTATGAAGGGGAAGATTGTGGCCTTGGAATTGCTCAAAATTTTGTTGGAGAATGCAGGTGCAGTTTTCAGGACAAGTGAAAGGTATGATTGCAGTCATGCTGGAAGTCATCATTCTTTTTTCGTCTTTGATTTTATACATAATATCATTGTGCATCATGCCATCATCACATAAAAATGTCAAGTCTTGCATGCCAAGTGCGGTAAAGAAATGGGTCACCTGTGATGCTTTCTTAAGAGACAAATCAAAGTTACCTAATTAGGTTAAGCATGAAATGTAATAAGGATGTGAATCATGTAATAAATGGTGGAAAACACATATTATCACAGAGACTTTGCTAAGCTCTTTTTATGTTTATTTTGTATGTATGTCTGTTATAGTGATGACTAATGAGTTTGTAAAACTAGCTGCTTTACTAGACTAAAGTTAAAGTTTCATATTTTCTTCATTGCAATTGCACATAAATCGGCACGTACATCAAGTATCAACATCTTTCTCCACAACCTTCAAAAGAAAAGAAAATAATGGGAAATATATAAATTATAAAAACAAGCGTGCATGAAAGTAGCCCATAAATCAGTGCTTCTTATTCTGATTGCTGCAAGTGTATATCAGCTGGCATTGATTTATATACCAAGTTACTAACTACTGAAAGTACACTGTCTGTTAGAGTTAACCTAATTGATACTGTAAGCATGATAAGGTTCAATGTGTGGAGTACTTAGCTTGAAACAGAGTCACCTGAGAAATTTGTATTTGAGGATCAGTGGATGTATTGAACTATTACTAAGCATAGGAAGACCCTGATGTATTGGTGGATGGCAGTCACTATTCATAGGAAGCTAATTACAACAATCAACAGTTGATAGAAAGATGGAAAGGGAAAATCATGAGAACTTGTGTTTCTAATAGATGTTATTCTAAAGGGTGCTAGCATGTCACACACTTGCTTCTCCTGTAATATTACGGCTGCAGGAGTTTTTAGTTTGACAAGTTCAATAAAAAAATGAGATTGGCACTTTTCCTGACCTTTGAGTTATGGAGGTGATTTTTTTGTTTTTTCACTTTATGTAAGTTATGAGGGTTCTGATTTTACCTTTGTTCTTGTGTTACAGATTCTTAGGTGCTATTAAGCAGTATTTGTGTTTGTCACTACTAAAGAACAGTGGCTCAAGCCTTATGATTGTCTTCCAGCTTTCATGCTCAATATTTATTAGTCTGGTATCAAGATTTAGAGCTGGATTGAAGGCAGAAATTGGAGTGTTTTTCCCAATGATTGTCCTCAGAGTGTTGGAAAATGTTTCTCAACCTAATTTTCATCAGAAAATGATAGTACTCCGATTTCTTGAGAAGTTATGTGTGGACTCACAAATTATGGTGGACATATTCCTTAACTATGACTGTGATGTCAACTCTTCAAACATATTTGAGAGGTATGCTCATATCTCGTACTACCGAACTGTTTGGATGTATTAATTCCATTTAATTATTCAACCTATCCTTTCAGAATGGTCAATGGACTTCTTAAAACTGCTCAGGGTGTCCCTCCCGGTACTGCAACAACATTGTTGCCCCCTCAAGAAGCAGCAATGAAGTTGGAAGCTATGAAATGCTTAGTGGCCATCTTGAAGTCCATGGGAGATTGGATGAACAAGCAACTGCGAATTCCAGATTCTCATTTTGCCAAGAGATATGAGACAGATGAACATTATTTTCAACCTGCTAGTCCTCCCATGGAAAATGGAAATGGGGATGAGGCTGGTGAAGCATCAGATTCATTTTCTGAAGCCTCTAGTGAAGTTTCTGATGCTTCAATAATTGAGCAGCGCCGTGCTTACAAGCTCGAGCTTCAAGTACGGAACCCATTTTTATAATCTTTAATAACTGTTAGCTACATCTGTCAAAAAAAAATTGTTAGCTACACCTGTAAAAAAACTATTAGCTACATTATTTGCCGAAATGCAAACTCTAGATTCGATCTTCATAGAATCTAATTAAAGTTTCGTGACAGGAAGGCATATCACTTTTTAATCGTAAACCAAAGAAAGGCATTGAATTCCTGATAAATGCCAATAAAGTTGGGACTTCAGCAGAAGAGATAGCTGCGTTCCTTAGAAATTCATCTGAGTTGAATAAGACCTTAATTGGTGATTATCTGGGGGAAAGGGATGACTTGTCTCTGAAAGTAATGCATGCTTATGTGGATTCCTTTGACTTCCAAGGTATGGAGTTTGATGAGGCAATAAGGGTCTTCCTCCAAGGGTTCAGACTGCCTGGTGAGGCACAGAAGATAGACCGTATAATGGAGAAGTTTTCTGAGCGTTATTGCAAATGTAATCCAAAGGTTTTTACCAGTGCGGACACTGCTTATGTTCTAGCTTACTCTGTTATACTGCTTAATACTGATGCTCATAATCCTATGGTCAAGAGCAAGGTACATCCATCTTTCAATCATTCATTTTGTTATGGAGAAAAGGCTGTTCATTTCATTTGAACTAATTTATATCGAGATAGATGTGTAATATAGGTAAATGTTGCAGATGTCAGCTGATGATTTCATAAGGAACAACCGTGGGATTGATGATGGAAAGGATTTGCCAGAGGAGTATTTGAGGTCTTTGTTTGAGCGTATATCAAGAAATGAGATTAAAATGAAAGAAGACGATTTGGCTGTTCAACAGAGACAGTCGATGAATGCCAATAAAATCTTAAGCTTAGATAACATCCTGAACATTGTGATCCGAAAGCGAGAAGGAAATGCGGAGACCAGTGATGACCTCATTAGACACATGCAAGAGCAATTTAAAGAAAAAGCTCGAAAAACAGAGTAAGATTATCTGACCCCCCCCCCCCCCCCCCCCTGATACAAGGGATTTGCAACACCCTTCCACTTTTTGCCTATTTTATAGCTTAGCTTGGTAGTTCTCCTCAAACAACCTAAAAATATGAATCAGTTCCACTTTTTATGAGGTCCTTTTGATAAATTATGTGAAGTAGTCTCTTAAAGGGTGGGCTTATTGTTGTTCTCTTGTTTCTCTATTTAATGATACGGGATGAGGGTGTCAAACTGTCAACTGATGCATATATTTTAAGTATTCTTTTCGTAAGTGGTTCTTTATTTGTAATATGCACATTGTAATCTGTAGGTCAGCTTATTATGCTGCAACAGATGTAGTAATCCTCAGATTCATGATTGAGGTGTGCTGGGCACCTATGCTGGCTGCTTTCAGTGTCCCTCTTGACCAAAGCGATGAAGAAGTTGTAGTATCTCAGTGTTTGGAAGGTTTTCGTTATGCAATCCATGTCACGGCAACGATGTCCATGAAAACCCATCGTGATGCTTTTGTGACATCCCTCGCAAAGTTCACTTCACTCCATTCACCTGCAGATATAAAACCGAAAAACATTGATGCCATCAAGGTCTGTTGTTTTATATATACTGTTTCAGTAAATGAATAACATTTCAGTCATAGTTATTGTTGAGATTTGATATGATTCTAAATGATATCTTTCCTGATTTTAGCATTAATTGTACAGATTGTATCAAATCAGGACTTAGTAATTGATAGATGTACATTTGATTCTTTCCTTGTAAGTTGTAATTCTGAACCTTATATATAGAGATCAGCTGAGAGTAGTTTCTCTCAAGCAAATTCATTCAAATCAGTAAAATCAAGTTGGTATCAGAGCCTCATCCTCACTTGCCCTAGTTGTCCCTGCAGCCAATCTTCATCGAGATTGGTCTGCTCGCACTAGGAATAAAAGTCCTAGTCATTCCAGATTGTGCCCAAGTCAGTGTACGTCATGTCGCCCCCTGACTCTTCCAGGAGTCTTGTGTCCTTTGTCTTTTCTGGGAATCCCCAAATAACTTCTGAAAAACTTAACGGCAGAAACTACATGGATTGGCAAGTTTCTGTTGAAATGTGGTTCTTAGGCCAAGGTTTGTCGGATCATTTGACCAAAAGAGCCGATGAGATAAGTGCATCTGAAAGGGAAAAATGGACTCAAGCAGATCATCAGTTGGTTGCTATTCTGTGGCAGTCCATTGATCCCAAACTGTTGATCCACTTCCGCACATACAAGACGTGTTATGACATTTGGAAGAAAGCTAGAAGTGTGTTCGCGAATGATGTCCAACGGATTTATGATGTTGTTCATAGCCTTGCAACGCTCCAAATGTCAGACCATGACCTTCCATCTTATGTGAATAAGGCACAATCCATTGTTGAAGAGGTTAAGGTGATGTTGAGCGAACCTGATCTTTCTAAAGTGTTTGATAAAATTGATAAAATGTGTATGGTGTTTGTTCTCCATGGACTTCATAGGGATTTTGATTCAGTGCGGAATCAAATCCTAACGAATCCAAACATTCCCACTGCTGAAGACCTTATTGGTCGACTGTTGCGAGTTCCTGCACCAAATGGAATTGAAAATGTTGGTCCTCACACAAACTTAGAGTTCTCTGCTCTTTTATCTCGTTCTAGCTATGGCAGTCGTGGTCGTGGGCGTGATAGAGGAGGGCGTAGCACTGGTGGCACTGGTGGTCGACCTAAGTGTAGTCATTGTCAGCGCATGGGTCACACCAAAGACAAATGTTATGAAATTATTGGTTGGCCAGACAAATCTGCTAATGTAATGCACTCCGAACCGGTGATACTTGGGGCAGCAGCTAAAAACACCCAGAATGTTCTGTCAGACGATGAATATAAAGAGTATCTCCAACTAAAGGCAACTCACCATGCCTCAGCCGCAGTCAACTCTACTGGTAATTCTACGGCATGCCTTTCTCAATCATCACCTCTCAAATCTTGGATCATAGATTCCGGTGCCTCTGACCACATTGCCGGTAATCCTTCTCTTTTCTCAAAGTTATCTCAACCTAAATCAATGCACCATGTCACTCTTGCTGATGGTTCAAAAGTTAAAGCCGTTGGTGTTGGACAGGCCACACTTCATCCTTCTTTATCTCTTAATTCTGTTCTTTTGATCCCTGGTTGTCCTTTCAACTTGGTGTCAGTCAGTCAACTTACACGTTGTCTTAATTGTGCTGTCACCTTTATTGATGATTCTTTTTCTATACAGGACCGGAGTACGGGACAGATGATTGGAGCAGGATTTGAATCTCAGGGTCTATACTACTTTCAGACTTCCTCTTCAGTTGCTTGCACTGCTGTGGAGTCTCCTTCTTTGCTTCACCAACGTTTAGGTCATCCTAGTCTCAATAAATTGAGGAGAATGGTACCTCAAGTTTCCCATTTACAGTCCTTAGCCTGTGAGTCGTGTCAAATTGGTAAACATGTTAGAACATCTTTCCAAAAGAGTCATAGTCGTGCAGAATCTCCCTTTTATCTTGTTCACTCAGATGTTTGGGGTCCAAGTCGTGTCAGTTCTGTTTTAGAATTTCGGTACTTTGTTATCTTTGTTGATGATTTTTCAAGATGTACGTGGCTTTATTTAATGAAAGAACGTTCAGAGTTATTTGGCATTTTCAAAAGTTTCTGCAATGAAATAAAAAATCAGTTTGATCATACCATTCGTGTTCTACGTAGTGATAATGCCAAGGAATATTTCTCAATAAATTTCAATGAATATATGGCTACTCAAGGGATAATTCATCAATCCACATGTCCCCACACGCCTCAGCAAAATGGGATTGCCGAAAGAAAACATCGACATATCATTGAAACAGCCCGCACACTACTGGTTCATGCCAATGCCCCACTAAAATTCTGGGGAGATGCTGTCCTCACAGCTGTTCATTTGATCAATCGAATGCCATCTTCTACATTGGATAACAAAGTACCACACTCTATCTTGTTCCCAAAGGACCCCATTTTCCTTATTCCCCCCAAAGTCTTTGGTTCTACTTGTTTCGTGCAGGATCTTTCCCCTGGTCTTGATAAATTATCTCCACGAGCAATCAAATGCATATTCCTTGGCTACTCTAGAGTCCAAAAGGGTTACCGTTGCTATTCACCTTCCACTCACCGTTTCTATACTTCTGCAGATGTCACTTTCTTTGAGGATCAACCATTTTTCACTTCACCAGTAGAAGTTGAATCTGTCTCCCAAGTCTTACCTATTCCTCATCTTACCCCATTGTCACCTCTCAGTCCTCCATTGTCTTCTTCCAAGCCTCTCATTACTTATCATCGTCGACTACGGTCTGCACCTAATGAGGATGTCCCTAATAATGACCCTATAGATTCATCTCCAGCTCCATCTCCATCTCCTTTACCTACTCCGGACCAACCTGAGGCACCAACTCAACCTAATCTACCAATTGCAACTGGAAAAGGTATACGTTCCACTCGGAACCCACATCCTATTTACAATTTTTTAAGGTATGATCGTCTATCTCCTTCCCATTATGCTTTTGTGTCTTCCATCTCTTCTGTTTCCATCCCTAAAACTGTCCAGGAAGCTCTTGCCCATCCAGGATGGCGCCAAGCTATGCTTGATGAGATGGCTGCCCTTGAAACTAACCGTACTTGGTCTCTTGTTCCCTTGCCCCATGGGAAATCTACTGTTGGTTGTCGTTGGGTGTTTACAATCAAAGTTGGTCCTGATGGACAAGTTGATCGGCTGAAAGCACGTTTGGTTGCTAAAGGGTTTACTCAAGTTTTTGGCTTGGATTATGGTGAAAATTTTTCTCCGGTTGCAAAAATGGCTTCTGTACGTTTGTTCTTATCTATGGCAGCTATGCGTAGCTGGCCCTTACATCAGCTGGACATAAAAAATGCTTTCCTTCACGGTAATTTACAAGAAGAAGTTTACATGGAGCAACCACCAGGGTTTATTGCTCAGGGGGAGTGTAGATACGTGTGTCGGTTGCATAAGGCCTTGTATGGTCTTAAACAATCCCCACGAGCGTGGTTTGGCAGATTCAGTACAGCTCTCAAACAGTTCGGGATGATTCAATGCAAAGCAGAACACACCGTGTTCTATAAAAAATCTTTATCTAATCAATCTACTTACCTTGTTGTTTATGTTGATGATATTGTAATAACAGGGGATGATCATGATGGCATAAAGAATCTTAAATTGTACTTGTCCCAACAATTTCAAACAAAAGACTTGGGACGACTTCGTTACTTTCTTGGAATCGAGGTAGCTCAATCCAAAACTGGTATTGCCATATCCCAAAGAAAATATGCTCTTGATATTCTGAAGGAAACCGGGATGACAGATTGTAAGCCGATTGATACTCCAATTGATCCAAATGTTCGACTTTTTCCAGATCAGGGAGAGCCTATCTCCAATCCTGAAAGATATCGACGGCTTGTGGGAAAGTTAAATTATCTCACTATGACCAGACCGAACATCTCCTTTGCCGTGAGCGTGGTTAGTCAGTTCCTCAACACGCCTTGTGATAGTCATTGGGATGCAGTCGTTCGAATCCTAAGATACATCAAAGGTTCACCTGGAAGAGGACTGGTTTATGCAAACCGGGGTTATGACAATATTACTGCGTATTCAGATGCGGATTGGGCCGGCTGTCCAAACGATAGGAGATCAACTTCAGGGTACTGTGTTCTCATTGGTGGGAACCTAATATCCTGGAAGAGCAAGAAACAGAGTGTCGTTGCTAGATCAAGTGCTGAAGCAGAGTATCGAGCCATGGCTCTCACCACTTGTGAACTTATATGGTTGAAACAATTATTATCTGAGTTAAAGTTTTGCAAACTGAAGCCTATGAAACTGATCTGTGATAACCAGGCAGCTTTATACATCGCTTCTAACCCGGTCTTTCATGAACGAACAAAACATATAGAAATCGATTGTCATTTTATCCGTGAAAAGGTCATTTCTGGAGAAATATTCACGTCCTTTGTCAATTCAAATGATCAGTTAGCTGACTTTCTCACTAAGTCACTCCGCGGTCCGAGGATAAGATATATTTGTGACAAGCTTGATGCATATGATATCTATGCACCAGCTTGAGGGGGAGTGTTGAGATTTGATATGATTCTAAATGATATCTTTCCTGATTTTAGCATTAATTGTACAGATTGTATCAAATCAGGACTTAGTAATTGATAGATGTACATTTGATTCTTTCCTTGTAAGTTGTAATTCTGAACCTTATATATAGAGATCAGCTGAGAGTAGTTTCTCTCAAGCAAATTCATTCAAATCAGTAAAATCAAGTGTTATTAAACTATAAAAAACTTAATAGCTAATAGGCAACACATTTGTGGGTGTGAGACAGGCTATCCTAATAATTGCGGATGAGGATGGAAATTACTTACAGGAGGCATGGGAGCATATCTTGACCTGTGTTTCTCAGTTTGAACATTTGCATCTATTGGGGGAAGGTGCACCCCCTGATGCTGCTTTCTTTGCACTTCCTCAGAATGAGTTTGGCAAGTCAAAACAAGCCAAATCAAATATTCTTCCTGTTCTGAAAAAGAAAGGACCTGGAAGTATTCAAAATGCAGCTTCTGCTGTGAGAAGGGGTTCTTATGACAGTGCAGGTGTTAGCGGCAGTGCTGTCTCTGGTATTACAACAGAACAGATGAACAATTTAGTCTCCAACTTAAACATGTTGGAACAAGTTGGTGAAATGAGCCACATATTCTTTAGGAGTCAAAAATTGAACAGTGAGGCTATCGTGGACTTTGTCAAGGCTTTGTGTAAGGTTTCTATAGAAGAATTGAAGTCAACATCAGATCCAAGGGTTTTCAGCCTCACAAAGATTGTTGAGATTGCGTAAGTTTTTATAATTTATCCTCTATATCAGTGCTCTCCTGCCTCTCCATATGTTGATTTGATTGATTTATGGGTTTTGGTAAACATTCTTTTTATCTTTAACAGACACTACAACATGAATCGCATCAGGCTTGTTTGGTCAAAAATCTGGCTCGTACTCTCTGATTTCTTTGTGACCATTGGCTGTTCCGAAAATCTTTCAATTGCCATATATGCAATGGATTTATTACGCCAGTTGTCAATGAAGTTTTTAGACCGAGAGGAACTGGCTAATTATAATTTTCAGAATGAGTTCATGAAACCATTTGTGATTGTTATGCGTAAGAGCAGAGCCGTTGAAATCAGAGAATTGATAATCAGATGTGTTTCACAAATGATTTTATCTCGCGTTAACAATGTGAAGTCGGGATGGAAGAGCATGTTCATGGTATTGAAGTCTTACTTATCCCTCCTTTTTGCATCTTTTGAATAATATGTCAACACCTTTCTTGAATAAATCTTGCCGTTTTTCCCCATCTCTTTTAAAATACTTTTCTTGGCGCTTATATGTATAGATTTTGTCAAATAAAATGTGTAAAATGTAAAAAGTTCGGTTCAATTTCGGTTCGGTTTTACACTAAAACTTGGAACCACGGTTTGATTGTTTCGGTTTGGTTTCGGTTTTTCGTTTTTTACCCAAAAATTGTCATTTGATTTAAAATTGATATAACAGTTAGAGGGATCAAACATATTACATAAAGAGTGCAAGCACACTAGAACAAATAAAATAAAAATGAGAAGAAATAAATATGACTTGAATCATATGAGTATGCGAGAGAGATAAAAGTGTATATATTATTAATTTACATTGTTTGTGACTGTATACATTCATAACTTTTTTCAACGGTTTTGAAGGGTAAAAACCAAAACCAAACAACTACGGTTTGGTTCGGTTTTTTACATTGGGTTTGGTTTTTTAGCGGTTCGGTTTTATTTGGCTGCGGTTTGGTTTAATTTGATTCGGTTTTCGTTTTTTCGGACCCCAGCCCTACTCTCATTTGAAACATATATGACTCAAATTCTCATTCTTATTTAATGATATTTATAGCTATAACTAGGGTACAATTAGGGTTACCTACATAAAGTGGGCTGAGCCTAATAAGGGTTCAGGGTTTCAACACATATATACACATACAACACACAAACCTAAGTTCAAATACATAAGTTCTCATTTTAAAAGGGGTTCTCACTAGGTCCCTTCCAATATATTATGTAAATATGTAATATATATCCATATATATATATACACACACACACACACACACTTATGTTCTAATTATATATACACATATATATTATGTACAATTTTATTTGGTACTACCTCCATCCTGTTGGAAGGTTCCCATGGCAAAACGACACGATTATTTAGACAATAATTAAATAAGGTAATTCGAGTATATTTTGAGAAATAGTTTTAATAGATATGTAATATAATGGGGTTAGTATTGATAACTGTGATGTTATTTTTTAATATTTAATGATTAAATTGTCATTTATAATTGTAAATTGTTTCCTAAAATAGAAATGAGAACCTTTATATGGGACGTCCAAAAAAGAAAAGTGTGAACCTTTCTACGGGAGGGAGTACCCTTTTTTCTTCCGGAAGAAACTAATTGCATTGACTGGTTGACTATTTTGTTCCTTAGTTATTCACTAAGTGTTATTATCTGAATGTTTTCAGGTATTTACTACAGCTGCTTATGATGATCATAAAAACATTGTTCTGCTGGCTTTTGAAATAACAGAAAAGATCGTACGAGATTACTTCCCATACATTACTGAGGCTGAAAGCACAACTTTCACAGATTGTGTTAATTGTCTTATTGCATTCACTAATACTAGGTTCAACAAGGATGTTAGTCTTAATGCCATTGCATTTTTACGTTTTTGTGCGGCTAAACTTGCTGAAGGAGGACTTGGCTCTTCAAGGAACAAGGACAAACAAAGTTCTGGAAAGATCTCTCCTTCACCACTGAAAGGAAAAGATAAAAAGAGTGAGAATGGGGATTTGACAGACAAGGATGACCATGTTTATTTCTGGTTTCCTTTGTTGGCGGGTAAATGCTGTATCTTAAAAGTGTAATATTTGTTCTTAAAAGTGAACAAATTTTTCACTCTTTTCATAATTTGATGCGGAGTACGTATTGATTAAATACTCTTATTGTGATTACCAAATGGCTCAAGTAAATTTGAGACCGTTGTTGTAGATAAGTGTTGTAGATTTGTAGTTGTTGACATGTCCTATTATTGCCGAGATCGAAAGGAAAGAAAAGGAAGAAACTTTAAGGAAGGGCAAAGGCATTATGGTGCAAGATGGGGAGCCCGAGCGGGCTGCCAAAACAGTGACCGAAAGGGATGATCAGGATGCCGAGGGGGCTGCCAAAACAGTGACTGAAAAGGAAGATAAGGATGCCGAGGGGGCTGCCAAAACAGTGAATGAAAAGGTGGAAATTGAAGAAGATAGTGATCTTTTTGTCACTAAAAGAGATCATCCCTTCTTCAAGAGATTTCGGTTGTTTAAATGGGGAAAGAGGAAACCTATAAGAGGTGAGGGTGGCACATCCGATTTCAAGGATGGTGAAGATGTACTTATCCGAAAAGTGCAAAAATTTCATGATACATACCAAGATGAGGTGATAGTTCAAATGGGAACTGATGAGGTGCTCATGCCTAGCATCAATGTTACACACATGAAACATGTAGATAAGGATGCTACTATTATCAAATTGGACCATCATCTCAAGGTGGTAAAGGAAGACCAACCCGGAATGCTTTTCACCAAGCAATGCCTTGAAGATCTTCCCGGAATAATAACAAGAGATAAAGAATATACCTTTGATTCCTCCTTTATGAGGGCTGTTTTTAGACACTTTTTGTGCCGGTATTATGAAGAGGGCTGCCCGAGGGGAAAAACATCACTTGTGAAACGACCAAGCATGAAAGACTTTGACAAAGTACGTGTGGTGAATGATATTAGGGAGGCATACCGTGATGATGTCATTGTTAAGCTTGAACTTGGCAAAGATAACCTACCTTTGATTCACCTACTACATTCCGGTGAAGTTAAAGATCAAATGGTGAGGCTTGATAACTACTTGAGAGTCACCCAAGATGAGCTTACCGAGGGACTCACATTCACGACTACATGCTTGGAGGCTATCCCGGGGGTCTTTGCCACGGAGTACGGGTATGAATTTAATTCTTGGTTCATTGAATATCCCTATACTTTATTATATCTTACTAGGTATAAAGAAAGAGCAAAGCCGAGCCATTTGATGAAAAAAAGTGAGACTAGACCGAGAGGGGGGAGGAGGAGGAACAACAACAAGTTTTGATGATTGTGTCCGCATGGAATATAAGGGGCCTCAATAAGGTCTCCAAACAAAACTCTATCCTTAAGTTTATTCGCACTAATAATATTCATTTGTGTTGCCTTCTTGAAACCAAAATGACTACTACTAATTTTGTTAATTTTAGTTCAAATAGATTACCATCTTGGCTATCTATAACTAATTTTGACAAAATTGATGGTGGCCGTATTGGCATACTTTGGGACCCCCATTTTGTTCAAGTTAATGTGCTTGAAATTGACAAACAACATATTCATTGTCACGCCACTTGTAAAACTACTCAAATTGAGTTTTTTGTTACTTTTGTGTACGCTCTCTACACGGTGCTTGAAAGACAAACACTTTGGGATCACCTAGCACACTTGGAGCCTAACATTACTAGCCCGTGGCTAGTTATGGGAGACTTTAATTGTGTTGGGAGCCCAAATGAGAGGGTGGGCCCTTCCCCCCCCTCGGCTTATGGTATGCAACACCTTAATGACTTTAAATTGCAAACTAATCTTGTTGATTGTCCATCCACGGGCCAATTCCTTACTTGGAATAGGGGTTCACTTTGGGCTAAGCTAGATCGAGTTCTCATTAACTCATTTTGGTCCACTTTGGATATTGAGTGCAAAACACATTTTCATGATTTCGAGCTTGAATCCGATCATGTAGCCTCCATGGTTTCCATTGGGAAAGGTAATGGGGCTGCCTCTCGGCCTTTTAAATTTTTTAACATGTGGCAGAATCATGAAAAATTCAATTCCATCCTCTCGACCCATTGGGTTAGAGAGGTCTATGGTAGCTCTCAATTTATTCTTGCCAAGAAATTGAAGGACCTCAAAAGACCACTTAGGGAGCTAAATAAATTCCATTTTGGCCACATTTCCGAAAGAGTTAAGGATTCCAAGAAAGAGTATAAAAGGCTCCTCGGGCTCTCTATACTCTCTCCGTTGGATGAAACTATAAAAGAAGAACTCTCTTTGACCAAGAAAAAACTTCTTAACCTTAAAGTAGCCGAAGAAGATTTTTTTAGGCAAAAGGCTAAGGCAAATCATCTTGTTCAAAGTGATAAATGTACTAAATATTTCCATGCTATTGTGAAAAAGAATATGGCTAGAAATTCCATTACGGCTTTAAAACTCCAAAATGGGACTTCTACCACTTCTATTGACCAAGTTGCTACGGAATTAGTGAATTTTTATACTAATTTGTTTGGTGCCTACTACCCCACTTCCGGGTTGGACCCCTCTGTGGTGGCCTCGGGTAGGTGTTTACCCGCCAATGCCACTCTTGGCTTGGTTGCCCCTATCACCGATTTGGAAATCAAGGAGGCCTTGTTTGATATTGGTGATAACAAATCACCAGGGCCGGATGGTTACACGTCCGCGTTTTTTAAAAAAAATTGGAACATCGTTGGTTTTGACTTTACTAGAGCCGTGAGAGGCTTCTTTGGCTCTGGTAGGTTATTAAAGCAAACTAACCATACGGTTATTGCTTTAATACCTAAGACCAATCACTCTCCCACACCGGCGGACTTTAGACCAATTGCTTGTACTAATGTGGTCTACAAAGTCATTACCAAAATTATTTCTAAGAGGATGACCCCGTGTCTACCGGACCTCATTGACCACGCCCAAGGGGCGTTTGTTGATGGAAGACTTATGATTGATAATGTCTTCGTTGCACAAGAATTGATTAAGGGATACTCTAGGAAACGTGCTTCTCCTAGATGTATGATAAAGGTTGACCTCCGGAAAGCCTACGATACTATATCTTGGGATTTTCTGGCTGCCATGTTAACCCATTTGGGCTTCCCGGGCAGATTTATACACTGGATTATGGAGTGTGTCACCACACCTTCCTATTCCATATGTATTAATGGGGTGCCTCACGGCCATTTTGAGGGTAAGAGAGGGCTTCGGCAAGGGGATCCTATGTCCCCCCTCTTATTTGTCCTTTGCTTGGAGTATTTTTCTAGATTGTTGAACATTAGGACCAAAAATCCTATGTTTAAACATCACCCCCTGTGTGGATCCCTTAACATATCACATGTGGCATATGCTGATGATTTGATGCTTTTTTCTAGAGGGGATACCACATCTATACAGATTCTCACACAGGCCCTGGAAGATTTTGGTAACATATCTGGCCTTAGGGTCAACTATGATAAATCAAATATCTTCATTGGTGGTAATGCATATTATGAGCTTGACACTATACTAGAACTGGTGGATTTCAAAATTGGTACATTCCCGGTCAAATATCTTGGGGTCCCCCTGGCACCCTTAAAGTTATCTGTGGCCCAGTATGCACCACTTTTGGAGTCCATAACTACTTTCATTAATGCTTGGAGTACTAAGTCTTTATCTTATGCAGGCAGAGTTGAGCTGATAAAGTCCGTTATACAGGGAGTGCACTCTTTTTGGTTACACATGTTTCCCATCCCTAATGTTATTCTTGATAGGATTACATCCATCTGTCGCATTTTTCTTTGGGGAAGCAAATTCGCTAGGGTTGCCTGGGCTGATATTTGCCTCCCTAAAGAAGAGGGCGGACTTGGCATACATGACACGAAAGTTTGGAATAAAGCTTTACTTTCAAAAACTTTTTGGGATATACATACTAAAAAGGACACACTTTGGGTCAAGTGGGTCCATGGGGTTTATCTCAAGGGTAGGTGTGTGTGGGAGTTTATCCCACATGAAAGAGATTCACAATTGTTTAAAAAGATTGCACAAATCCGAGATGAAATACTCTCCAAATTTCAGGATATCCCGAGTGCTATACTTGGCTTAAATGCTTTTCAAATGAATGGTAAGCTTGTATCCTCCAAGGTTTATGATTTGCTTAGGCCTAGGGCTGCCACCCGAGTGTGGATGCCGTTTATTTGGAAAGACTACATCCCTCCCAGGTTTTCCTTTGTTACTTGGTTGGCATTCCGTAACAGATTAGCCACGTGTGATAATCTTCATAGATTAGATGTGGATAATACTTGTGTATTGTGCAAGGGTGGACCGGAAACGGTTCCACACCTCTACTTTGAATGCTCTTTTTCAGGAAAAGTTTGGGCTATGATGAAAGCATGGATTGGCATTCCACGAATGATGGGGACCCTAGCTAGTGCGGTCAAATGGATCAAGAAGGAAAGGAGTGGAGCCAGTGTACGAGCCAAGGCTGCCAGGATTGCTTTCTCGTGCACCATATACTCGCTTTGGAGAGTCAGGAATACAGCTCGATTTGATGATTTTTTGCCAAAGGAGGAGGAAGTTTTTGCCAGGATACAATATGTTGTCTATAAAATTCTGTATTGCATCTATCCTTATGATTTGGTAGTACTTTGATAACTTTTCGCACATCACCTATCTTTGTTTGTGATAGGCCGTGAGGTAGTATAGGAGGGGGCTGTCATGGCACCCTTATTTTGGCAGGTGATGGGTTATCCAATCTTTGGTTAGCCTACATTTTTGCTCATATATTTTCTGCTGTACAGACGAACTATTGACGGTTTTTTTCTAATATACTTACATGTTATCAAAAAAAAAATCATCATCACCTATAACATCAAGGAGGGAAAGTTCCCGAAATAGGACTAAAACAGTTTGAAAATTCCAAAATAGGACTGCCATGTTTTTTATTCCCAAAATAGGAGTAATTACTGCCAAGTTTGGAAAATGCTGCCATGTTTGAAGTCTGGTACTGCCAAAACATGACAGTAATTAGTCCTATTTTGGGAATAAAAACATGTCAGTCCTATTTTGGAATTTTCAAACCTTTTTAGTCCTATTTCGGGTATCCCTAACATCAAACACAGTTGCATTAGAGAGGAATTGAACTCTTTTCAAAAGCTGTAATTAAATACTCCATCCTTGAATTCCAATTGAGCTTGACATTATATTTAAGGAATAAGTATGAGTAATGAATAATTTAGAAAAATATGAGAGATGGTAGGAAAATATGAAAGAGGAGATAAAAAGTAGAAAATAATGAAATTTGTTTATGTTTTAAAAGAAAACTTACAAATAGAGTATGTATAGCAAAAATTAAAATACATGCCAAAATGAAAATGTAGCAAACGTTTCAATATGGATGGAGTATAATATTTACTCAGGGCGTTTACTTCACCGGTTATTAAACGGTGCTTATTAAGACCCGTGTTAATAAGCGGTGCATAAAATAAACAGTGTTGTAAGACTGTGTTTACTTCAAACGGTTTAAAACACCGCTTAACATTAAAATGTCCAAAATAACCCTATACATATATACACACACAAACATTCATGAACACAAGTATATAATATAAATGTGTACCCATACCCCCTACCTTACTCTGACCCCACCTACCCCCTACCCCTACCCTACCCGACCCTACCCCTACCCGATCCCACCCTACCGCGACCCTACCCCCAACCCCATAGGCCCCTACCCCCATACCCCCTTACCGCATCGACCCCACCCTGACCCCACCTTACCCTACCTTACCCCAACCCCGCCCCTACCCCTACCCTACCTTACCCCGATTACCACTACCCTACCCAATCCCACCTTACCCCTACCCTACCCGACCCCACTCTGCCGCAACCCTACCCCCGACCCCACCGCACCTACTCTGCCCCTAGCGCCTCTATCACATTGGCCCCACCCCGACCCCACCACCCCAACCCCACCACCCTAGGTATAGGGTGGGGGTAAAGGGTGGGGTCGGGGTATATGGTGGGATGGGGTAGGTGGGGTAAGAGTATGGTGGGGTGACTGCGGTCAGGTAGTGGTAGGGTGGGTCGGGTAGGTAAGGTAGGGGTGGGGTTGGGTAGGTGGGGTAGTGGTAGGGTGGGTTCGGGTAGGTAGGGTGGGGTTCAGGCGGGGTATGGGGTAGGGTCAGGGTAGGGGTAGGGTGAGGTCGGATAGGGTAGGGGTAGGGTGGGGTTGGGTAGGTGGGTAAGGGGTGGGGTAGGTTTGTGGTCTGGTAGGTAGGGTAGGGGTGGGGTCTGGTAGGTAGGGTAGTGGTAGGGTGGGGTCGGGTAGGGGTAGGATGGGGTAGGGTAGGGGTAAGGTGGGGTAAGGGTAGGGTGGGGGTCGGTTAGGTAGGGTAGGGTGGGGTAGGTAAGGTAGGGGGTAGGGGTGGGGTAAGGGTAGGGTGGGGTCGGGATAGAAGGTGTAGGGTAGGGGTGGGGTAGGTGGGGTTGGGGTCAAGGTGGGGTCGGTAGGTAGGTGGGTCAGGGGTAACAATAGGGTAAGGGCAAGAGGTAAATTCGGAAACTGAAAAAGCTTAAAGTGCCGCTTAATTAATACATGGGGGTGTGGTAGGCTTAGTAAGCGGCACTTTAAGCACCTATTTCGGTTAGTAAGCGGCTTTTTAAGCAGCGTGCGTGTTTACTTCACCTGTCTTACTAACCTAACTGTGACTTTAGCAGCGAAGTAAACGCCTCCTCAGTAATGTAGCAAACGTTTCAATATGGATGGAGTATAATATTTACTCAGTTCCATAAAAATTAGTTTAATTAATTTTGACTTACACATACAAAAAAAAAGTGAAAATGTTAGGCGGTGCTTTGTTTAGAGCAAATAAAAGTAACATGAATGCACCAATATGAATTGCTACTATTATCCTCATTTGTTCCTTCTTGTGTTCCACAAAAAGACTACTGACTACCGACCTACCTACCGTATTCAGTTTCCTTGATCAATGATTGCTATTAGACATTGATGGACTACATAATTTGTATACATACTCCCACGAAAGCAAATTAGGCATTGATGGACTATATAATTTGTATACATACTCCCACGAAAGCAAATTAGGCATTGATGGACTATATAATTTGCATACATACTCCCACGAATGCAAAAGTTACTCTGTTTCTTTTTGGACTCCTAAAATAAACTCTATTTTCCCTTTTTAATAAAAAATTGTGATTCACATCAATTCTTACACATGTCTCTCTCCCCTGCATAACTCTCCACCACACAATACCCACTATCTTAATTCTCGTGTCATTTGTACTATGGAACAAAATTTAGGGACCGAGCATAATTTCCCCCAAAATGTGACAGTGTTAATTACTCTGAATTATTATTGAAAGGAAATTATTATTCTTGTTAAGATATATCGGGCGATTTTTATCCAAATAGAATCTCACCAAAACAGATTGAAACCAAATCATATGCAGTTCAATTTGAATTTGGTGGTACTTCTTCCAAATCGTTGTTGACTGAACGGAACCGAAATTGAGAAAAATGAATATAAATTCGAATAGAATTGAAAAAATCAACAAAATCTAAATATATTATTACAAAAATAAATCGAAACTGAGCTGAACTAAACTGAAACGAATCATATCGAAACATGATATAATTTGTGTTTTGCGTTCTTTCCATCAATTTCAAAGTGAACGGAATTGCAAATCGATAAAAAACGAAGCAAAATTCATACTCCCTCCGTCCCAGAATTAACTTCGATTTTGACTGGGCACAAGTTTTAATATAGTGGGAAATGTGTGGTGGAAAGTTGTGCAGAGGAGAGAGAAATGTGTAAGAATGGCTGTGAACCACAAATTCTTTGTCAAAAAGGAAAAGATGAGATAAATTTGGGACGGATCGAAATGGAAAGAATGAAGATAATTTTGGGACGGAGGGAGTATAATCAACTCTTAATAGGACTATCAATGCTTCATAACCAAGCATTCCAGCCCTGATTGTGAGGTTACCGACGTACCGTGCCTAGTGAGAGGTCTCAAGTTCAAAACCCGCTAGGCACATAAGGGTTCGAAACTCAATGGAGTGGGTTTCAGCCCTGATTACTCCAAGGCCCCCCAGCACCCCTCCCCCAGACCTACCTGGAGTAAAAAAAAAAGAAGAAAAAAGACTATCAATGCTTCATTTGTAAAATGAGACACATTCACTCTTATTTTAAGAAGTTTTAATCACTTTATATATTCTTTTAATAAGATTAAATAATCCCTATTTGGTGAATACAGTATATCTAGTCCTATTTTTAATTTAGTGTATATTTTGGTCCTATAATCTATATCCCTTATTCACCAATAATTAACTTATATAGATACTTTAATATTTTAGCAAATTTTAAATCATACTTTATGTACGTACTCATATTGGGTGTGTTTGGCATTTAGCGGTTAGCGGATAGCTGATTACGTTAACGGGTTGTTAATTTAGCTGTTTGGTCATATAATTGGTCATAAAACGCCATTTTTCAAAACGCTAACCCAAAACTCTCTTATTTGCAGCATTTTCATTTCAGCAGTTCCGTCCAAAAACGCTAGTGCCGAACCGCTATTTACCAAACAACGTTTTCACTCATCGAAAACGCCAAAAATGATCAAATCACCATTTTTTGACTAAAACACCATTTATCAAACACCCTCATTGTTTGTTGTGTCATAGTTACTAATTTAATACTCCGTAATACGGTGTACTAAATTACAGGTCCGTATATAGATATCATCAGTAAGTTGTACGGGTAAAATTGTTTTTTTTTTATGTTTATCAATTATATTGCATATTTATGATGCTACTTAATTATTGTGTATCGCGTACTCTCTGCCTGATTTTTAATGGGAACATGCATATTTATAAGAATAATAAAACTCATGACACTCACAAATATGACTGTGAGTGATTCGTAGCTTTCTCAAAATATGGTCGAGCACATATGAAACTGGATAAGGAAATACGAAAGATGATATTACTGCATGTCATATGCAATCATATTAGAAAAAAAATGTGAATTAAATTTTGAAAACTAGGCTGTAGGGGGGGCTAACCACGTCTCTGAGACCACACCAAATTTGAAAAATGCCTATATTTTATACTCAGTGTGTAACATGCATCTGAAAATATTTTTTGTATCGACTCACCCAAACTTTTAATTCTGTTTACGCCCCTGTTGGAAAACATGAAAAATTCTAGTCATACATGACGTGATTCTGTCTTAATTATACTACGTATTCCATTAGTTTTATGAAGAATAATAATAAAAATACTTTTCGCGAACCGAGTATATCATATTGGCCCTTTAGAACAGAACCATAAGTTCAAGAGTTTTATATATCCCGGGCTCACATCATCCATATGAATTGGTCAAACTTTGATACTATGAGCAATTCGGAATTTCACGGGCAGACCCTAGTAGAGACCCACAGGGGCTACCGCTCTTCAACAAAAAATCTTTTAGAGTATATATACGAAAAAGTAATTTTCGCCCTCTCAAAAAATAATTTTCACCTCCAAAAAAATTATTTTAAACCCCCCAAGATAGATTTACTGGGTCCGCCCCTAACTCAAGATCTTATATACGGAGTAGTAAACTAATAGTTCATACAACCATACTTTTACGGGTGAAGAGGAGCCTTGGTTTACCCATTGCAGTGTTGCTGTATTTGGGAGCGGCGTCTACTCGTCTAGCATAGTGAAAATGATAAGAGAAAGTTTAATTACTTCTATATACTCCTTCTCTTCCCACTAAGATTGTCACATCTTTCTTTTCGGTCTGTCCCAGTAATGTTGTGTCATGCCCAATTTGGTA